TCGGAGACATCAGACGCGTCCGTCTGTCGCATTCAGAGGTCTGAACTCGGTCTAATACTCGAGCTGGGTTTGTCAAACTATTCGTTTTGTTCGAGTCATCTGGAGAAGTGCTGTCGATCTACGCGCGTAACTCGGGCTGTAGGAGAGCTACAGAAAGAAGACAATCGAGAAGCATCGGGGGCGTTGGGCTGTTGCATCGAGAGGTCTGAAATCGCGTGGGCTAAAAAACTATTCGTTCTCTGCATTTTTTCCGACATGAGAAATTGTGAGGAAGCTCTGCGAGTCCCCCGGCGGTAGGAAAGGTTGACGGTTTACCGCCGGCGCCCAGTTCGAGTCATCCTGAGAGGTGCTGCCGGTTTTCTGCACTTACCTTGGGCTGTAGGGGGCTGCAGGGTTGGTAATACCTCGTAGAGCTCTTCGTCATCGATGAGCTAGAGGAATTCCGGCGCGGGGTGGGGCCAGTACCTCGTGGAGCTCTTCGGCATCGATGAGCTAGAGGAATTCCAGCGCGGGGTGGAGCTATGCTGGAACCGACTTTGTATGAAAACCAAAAAAAAATGATTTTTCGAGTTTTTCTGCTCTCGCTTCAGAAGCTTCCTTCATGTGTTCCGAGGAGCGCTGTGCAACAAAACAGCTCTACGAGGTGCCCGGCGGTAGCCTGGTTGATGGTTTACCGCCGGTTCCCAGTTGGCCGACCCGGCCCCGACGGACAAAGTGATAACTTTTGGGTGGTTTCACGATTCTTTGAATGATATTCGACCATTCATTTTGAGAAAGCAGATTTTTCGCACTTGTAGACGACTATGAGGGCCTCCGCGTCTTAATAACTCGTAGAGCTTCCCTTAGCAAGTTATTGCTGGAAGCTTAAGAGTAATTCCGGGGCGCTGGAGATCTAGTTGGCAAGAAAAATCTCGACGGAACTTTTGGTGACTTTTGGTCGGTTGAAAATTTTGTTGTCGAAATTCAACCATTCGTTAGAGCTCTATTATTTTTGCCCATGATATTCGATCTCATTCCCGCTCGCCATCTTGATCTCAGCTCGATCGGGTACCTTTTACTGCCAAAAAGCAGGCAGGTGGGATCGGCCGTTTCAAGTCATCTTGACACGCGATGACGGTTTTCTGAACATAACTCGAGCTTCAGGACAGCTACAGAGCTGGTAAGCACAGCTAATGGATTCAAAATGATCAGGCGCATTCGCTTGTTGAATCTAGAGGTCTGAACTCGGTCTGCTAGCCGAGCTAGGTCCGCAAACCTATTCGTATTATTCGAGTCATCTTGACAGACGCTTTCGGTTTTCTGTACTTAACTCGAGCTATAGGACAGAAAACCGACAGCACTCAGGATGACTCGAAGAATACGAATAGTTTTGCGGACCTAGCTCGGGCAGCAGACCGAGTTCCGAGCTCTGGATTCGACAGGCGGACGCGTCTGATGTCTTCAAATCGATTCCTGTGACCACCAGCACTGTAGCCCCCCCCCAGCCCGAGTTCAGTGCAGAAAACCGACACTTCTCAAGATGACTCGAACAATACGAATAGTTTCGCGAGTCTAGATCGGGCATCAGACCGAGTTCAGAGCTCTGGATTCAACAGACAAATGCGACTGATGATTCTGAATCGGTTTCTGTAAGTATCAGCTCTGTAGCTGCACTTAATCCAAGCTGTAAGGGGGCTGCAGGGCTGGTAATCACAGGAGTCGATTCGCAGACATCAGACGCGTCCGCCTGTCGCATTCAGAGGTCTGAACCCGGTCTGCTACTCGAGCTGGATTGCCAAACTATTCGTTTTGTTAGAGTCATCTTGAGAGGTGCTGTTGATTTACGCACGTACCTCGGGCTGTAGGAGGGCTACAGGGCTCGCAAGGAAGACAATCCAGAAGCATGAGGTCTGAAATCGCTTGGAATGAAAAACTATTCGTTCTCTGTATTTTTCCACATTATATATTGTCAGGAAGCTCTACGAGTCCCCCGGCGGTAAGGAAGGTTGACGGCTTACTGCCGGCGCCCAGTATGAGCTCTCTTGATGCATTTTTATTATTATCACTTGGCGAAACCAACTTTATGTCGACATGGAAAAAATCATGTTTTCTCTTTTTTTCGAGAAATGCTTCCAGAAGCCCTCTCTTTTGATGCTGAGCACTCTCACGCGTGTTAGGAGCTCTCCGAGGTTCCCGGCGGTGACCAGGTTGACGGTTCACCGCCGGCGCCAGTCACGTCAATCGATTCGAGACAATCAGACGCGTCCGCCTGTCGCATTCAGAGGTCTGAACTCGGTCTGATACTCGAGCTACTATTCGTTATCTGCAATTTTTTTCGACATTATATGTTAGGAAGCTCTACGAGTCCCCCGGCGGTAAGAAAGGTTGACGGTTTAGCGCCGGCGCTGAGTTTCAAAGATAATTGACAATTTATTTTGAGAAACCAGGTTTTTTTTTGCACCTGTGGACGACTATGCGGGTCTCTGCATCTTAATATGAGCTCGCTAGGCGGACTTTTCGAAACCTTTGGAGGAACCATCTTCTTTTCGGCATGAAAAAAATAAGGTTGAATTTTGCGAGAAATGCCTCCAGAAGCTCACTTTCTACTCTGAGCAATTTCATACGTAGAAGCGCTCTACGAGGTTCCCGGCGGTGACCAGGTTGACGGTTCAACGCCGGCGCCAGTACCTTGTAGAACTTTTCGGCATCGATGAGCTAGAGGAATTCCGGCGCGGAGTGGAGCTAGTTGGCCGACCCAACTAAAAGAGACAATGTGACATTTTTTGGTTGGTTTTCTTAAGATTCCCAGACATGTGACAATTCATTTAGAAAGCAGATTTTTCGCACCTGTGAACGACTATGAGGGCTTCTGCGTCTGAATATGAGCTCTGTAGGCGCACATTTACTATCAAAACAATTGGCGGAACCAACTTCACTCGATATGAAGAAATAACAATTTTCAATTTTTCTAGAAATGCCTCCAGAAGCTCTTCCTTCCGACTCTGAGCACTCTCACGCGTGAAAGGAGCTCTACGAGGTTCCCGGCGGTGACCAGGTTGACGGTTCACCGCCGGTGCCAGTTTGCAGACCCGACCTTAAGAGACAATGTGGTAACTTGACGTCTGTTTTTCAATCTTTGTGCAAGATTTGAAAGTTCGTTTTAAGAGCTATTTTATTATTTCCTGTAGTAGGTTATGCCGCGTCTGCCAGTGAAATTCTCAGGTCCGTAGCTTCAGTATTACTATTAAAACTCTTGCTGGAAACGACTGTGATCCGAGTCATTCTTACGTGTTTACGGTTTTTGGTGCTCAACTCGAGATTTGGGTGAGCTACTTAGCTCATACTTAGAAAACTATTCGGAATGATCAGGCGCGTTCGTCTGTTCCATCCAGAGGTCTCAACTCGGTGTCGCTCGAGCTGGATTTGCCAAACTATTTGTATTCTTCGAGTCATTTGACAAGTGCTCTCGGTTTTCTGTACTTAACTGAAGATTTAGAAGAGCTACAGAGCTGGTACGCACGTAATTCGATCCAACATCATCCGGTGCGTTCTTCTCTGGCATCAAGAGGTCTCAACTCTTCTGGTACTCGAGCTAGGTCCACGAAGCGAAGATGCAAAACTGAAAAAAAAAAAAAACGTTTTTTTTTGAGCTTCTTTCTTCATGCTTGAGAACGTTTTATCGTATGCGCAGCGCCGCTCGAGAGCAGAGCTCTACGAGGCTCCCCGCGGTTACCTGGTTGACGGTTTACCGCCGGATCTCTGTGCCTCGTAGAGCTCTTCGGCAAGATGAGCTAGGAGGAATTCGGCCGCATAGTGGAGCTAGTTGGCCGACCCGACCTTGTGACGGAAGCAGAATTGTCTGCTGCCGAACGCCTGCGTACAGGTGTTGAGCATATTGTTAAAGAAATTTCCTCTGCAAAGCGGAGGAGGCGGATCTAACTGGCTTTAGCCTCTAGGCTTGGGCGCTCGCGCCCTGTGTAGCCTGACCAATTCACCAATAACGAACTTTCGGATTCCGAGAAACTGATTTTGAACCGGTCGAAATTATGCATAACTTCCGTCGGGATTTTTCGGGCCAGCTGGCCCGCCAGCGCGCCGGAATTACCGGGAACCGGCGGTACACCGTCAACCTTGGTTACCGCCGGGAACTCGTAGAGCTTCCTTGCGATATACATGAATGGCATGCGAGCGCGGCAATCGTCGTTGTGCACTGGGGTGCGTGGGTATCGGCGGGCACTGCGTGTCGGAATTCCTTCAATTTCATGTTCTGTTTTTTTGTCGGTGCTCGGGTGACAAGTTGTTGGAGTTGCCGCAAGTGTGGGCAGGCGCGTGTCGGGGAGCCTCGGGGGACCCCCGCTGCGTTTGCGGCTTTGTGCTTCTCAGAAGCCGTCGCGCCTTCTGAGAAGTTTTTCTTGTCCTCGGTGAAGGCTTAGAAAACTTCTTAGAAATCCGGGGACTTCTGAACCTCCTGAGAAGGTACGCCCCTTTTCACTTCCCCCCTGGTTCGCCGCCTACATTTGCAGTGATGCCCGAGGCCTTTCCCTGGGTATTTTTCCTTGGCCCCCAGCTCCCACGCCCTGGGAAGCGACATGATCAAACTTGCCGGCAACTTTCGCAGTGTGGTCGGGGAAGTCGGGGTCGTTGAGCTTGCCTCCGTAAACCACGTTGCGCTTCCCAACCACTGTGACAAAGTAAAAACAATCAAGTTCAATGTGTCGTGCTGGCTTGAAGTGTCTTGGCTCCCTCTCGGGGCCTCTCTTGGCTCTCTCGGGTCCTGCAGAACTTCTCGGGTCTTAGAATTGTATCACTTCTTCAACCGTTTTGGAGGGTATCTTGAGTGTCTTGCGGCGTCGGAGGCTGGATTTGCAGGTCCTGCAGGCGCAGGAGGTGCTGATGGCGGAGTTCGTAACCCCACCCATCACCACATTTGTGATTCCGGACCCCTGGGAGAGGGACCCAGGGGAGGCCTTGGGGGAGGGGGACGGACAAACCTCTTTACACGCAGTCTCACCCCCGACACT